GGGGGAGGGCAGGGCTTCTCCCTCCTCCCCCAGGGCCTGATCCTTGCCAGGCCCTGCAGCCAAGGGGGGCAGATGCTGCACCTGCAGGATCATGGGGGGGAGCAATGGGGGAACACGGAGGGGAGATGGGGAAGGAGAGGATGAGGTGGCTCAGAGCGTCCTCCTGAGTCTCGTCTGTTTCCCCCACACACACCCCAGGTGAGCAATGTGACTCAGAGCTTCTCCTTCGCGGTGGAACAGGACTTCCCCGTGCAGAGCCTGAAGCCGGCACTGGTGAAAGTCTACGATTACTACGAGACGGGTGCGTGTGGGGGCAGGGCTGGGGGGACATTAGCTCCCATGAGCCTGTCACAGGGACGGGAGAGGCCACAGTCAGAGCCACAGGGGACCCGCTGGGCTCGGGATTGTGTTTGGCCTCGTTCTCTCGATGATCCACCTCCCAACTCCTGTGCTGCCTCCTGAGGGTGGGGACAGGCCTGGGGCTGAGCTGGGAACCTCACGCCAGCGCTGCCTGCTCAGCGACTGCCCACGCAGGTTCAAAGGGCAAACCCCATTCCCTTCTCCTCCTGCTTCCGACCCGAATGGCCCTGCCACCACCATCCCTGACACCGGTTTGCCCCACGCAGACAGCGTCCCCCTCTCATCTCTGGACACAACAGGCCCATCTCAGCAGCGTCACCCCTCTCCCAGATGAGAGTGTGGGGCACACCAGGATTATGGGCCAGGGATCATATTCCACTGGCCTCATGCTCGCACCATGAGCCCCAGACCCCTCCCGCACTGTAGAGGGAAGGTGCCAACCCAGGTGGGTCAGAGCCAAAAAGATCTGGGAGGGTCCTGGGTTCAGATCCTGCCCTGAGATCCCAGATCTGGGTGTGACCTGGGGGAGGCACATTCGCTCCTCCACCTCCCCAGCTAGGACATCGGGTGACAAAACCAGAGCCCAACAGCAACCCCGGCGGTCGTGTGTCAGACGAGGTGCAAACGGCCATAGGGCACCTGGCACAGACCTGCTGGAGATGCCTGTTGTGCTGTAGCCTTGGGGTAACCTTTGCCTTCCTCCCACGGAGCCCAGCTGAGGTTCCCCCAGTGCCTCT